CCAGAACAAGACACCAGCTTCGAATCAGAGCAGATCAGACCAGATCGTTTATTTCAGGCATACTTGGTTTATATATCAATCATACAGACCGCAACGTACCATAAAATAGGAAATAATATTTGTACACAAATAAGCCAAAAAGTGGCTGTGAACGAGGGGGACAGTGAATAATAGACTGAGCACAGATTAAGAACCGTAAATCGTATAATAATAAATTATAGGTCAAAATAAAGCTTATCATAAAAGGAATATAAATATACATAGTGTAATTGTTGAGTAGTTATACAATAAGAATATTAGTCCATGAATAGTCCTCGGAAGTTACCTGTAATTTAATCTCCACTCGGATATAACACCTCCCCTTTTTTTTTTGAAAACTCCAACTTTAGATTCTGATTAAAAAAAAAGAATTATATGTGACTTAAAATTCCTCAACATTCTCCTCCTCCTCGAAATAATGTTGGGTCCTTATGGCTCCAAATTACAACTAGTAGGACTTTATTTAAACCATGTTTCTCGTATTGACTGGAGAATCCACTAAAAATGACTAGATTATGATGAACAACCTTTGATCTGAGTTCATTATTTTCAAATTCATTATGAATCTCGTTAGCAGATAACGAGTCATTAAGAAAGTCAACGTCTAACAGAATTAAATTAGATTTTTGGCCATCATTCGACTCAGCTGACATATTTCCCTCATTGTTATAAGAAGTTTCATCAAAATCATATGCATTATTCTGAGAATCAATATCTGGTACACTGTCATTAGAAATGGGATAAGTTGACTCAATATAAAATTCTGTCTTCCGGTGATTTTGAGTAACATCTGGTACAGTTTGGTTCACCGTGTTGCTCCAGTTATTTTCTGAATACGAGTCACCATAGCTTTCTCGACTAATAGCACGTGGACCACAATTTTGTTCGAGCTGACGTTTATTTTCGCAGCTAGACAGTACCAGTAGTGTTTCATTTGATTCTGGACTCTGGGCATCATCTACAGGATCTGGCTCCTGATCATCTGGTATTGTCACAACTTCATGTGCATTTAGCACAATATTTTCTTGCTCTGAGCTGGACACGTTACCAATATTACGTTTTCCTTCTGGTATAGAGGGATTTGAACCCTGCACAGGATATGCTTCTGAAATGTCCATTACTGCACCATTATCTGCATGATATATAGATTTCTTATTTTCTGCTTGAATGCAAAGTCTGCCCAAAACTGTTACAAATAGCTGTTGTTGCAAGGCCAACATCTTCTGCTGGTGCTGTAATATTAACCGCAACTCTTCGAAAGAAATCGACATTTTTTTTGCCAATAATATTAGCTCCAAAAATCACCGGCAATTATACAGCTAATTTATTTCCAAAATCTGAGTCACCACTTGTCGTATTATTATTTTTTCTTTGTTGCCAAAATCCCCGTCGCCAGTTGTTATGACCTTGAAGTTGAGGGTTCAAAGCGTTTCTCCACCCGTCGCCAATTGTTATGACCTTGGATGTCTGGTTTTTCTATCACGCGATTTATCTACCAATCCGAATACGACTTATACAGATCTTTACACTAGGCCAACCAATAACGTTCAACCGGTGTGGGTAGTTTAGCGTCCTTATTGGTCCTATGTCCTGCGAGCCCTTCCACTTGAGTCCAGAACAAGACACCAGCTTCGAATCAGAGCAGATCAGACCAGATCGTTTATTTCAGGCATACTTGGTTTATATATCAATCATACAGACCGCAACGTACCATAAAATAGGAAATAATATTTGTACACAAATAAGCCAAAAAGTGGCTGTGAACGAGGGGGACAGTGAATAATAGACTGAGCACAGATTAAGAACCGTAAATCGTATAATAATAAATTATAGGTCAAAATAAAGCTTATCATAAAAGGAATATAAATATACATAGTGTAATTGTTGAGTAGTTATACAATAAGAATATTAGTCCATGAATAGTCCTCGGAAGTTACCTGTAATTTAATCTCCACTCGGATATAACACAAGTGAAGAGGAGCATTAGATCCGACAGGAAGAAATACGTGGAAGAATTAGCAACGACGGCAGAAAAAGCTGCAAGAGAAGGAACTATGAGACAGCTTTCTGATACAACGAATAAACTAGCAGAGATACAGTAATCCAGAGAGATCGGTCAAGGACAAAGAAGGAAGGCCAATTACCGAAATTCAACAACAGCGTAACAGATGGGTAGAATACTTCGAGAAACTCCTGAATAGGCCGGCTCCAATGAATCCACCGAACATCGAAGCAGCACACACAGATCTTCTTATAGATGCCAATCCACCAACGACGGAAGAAATCAGAATGGCCACCAGACAAATCAAGAACGAGAAAGCAGCACGACCCGACAGCATACCAGCTGAAGCACTGAAATCAGACATCGAAGCAACCACAAGGATGCTTTATCTTCTATTGAAAAAGATTTGGGAGGAGGAACAAGTGCCGACGGACTGGAAAGAAGGACACCTCATCAAGATTCCAAAGAAAGGAGATCTGAGCAAATATGAAAACTACAGAGGCATTACACTACTGTCAATACCAGGGAAAGTCTCCACCAGAGTGTTGCTGAACCGAATGAAGGATGCAGTAGACGCCCAATTTCGAGATCAACAAGCTGGATTCCGTAAGGATCGGTCGTGCACAGACCAAATTGCGACACTACGGATCATCGTCGAACAATCAGTTGAGTGGAACTCGTCACTATACATCAACTTCATTGATTATGAAAAGGCATTCGACAGTGTAGATAGGAGGACATTATGGAAACTTCTTCGACACTACGGAGTTCCTGAGACGATTGTCAATATTATCCGGAACTCATACGACGGACTACAGTGCAAAGTAGTGCATGGAGGACAGCTGACGGATGCATTCCAAGTAAGGACCGGAGTCAGACAAGGCTGTCTACTCTCTCCCTTCCTCTTTCTTCTGGTGGTCGACTGGATTATGGAGACCTCGACATCTGAAGGGAAACACGGAATACAATGGACAGCTCAGAATCAATTAGACAATTTAGACTTCGCAGATGACCTAGCCCTCCTATCCCATACACACGAACAGATGCAGATGAAGACAGCTAGTGTAGCAGCAGTCTCTGCATCAGTAGGCCTCAGCATACACAAAGGGAAAACCAAGGTCCTCAAATTCAAAGCGGAGAACAGCAATCCAATCACTCTTGATGGCGAAACTCTGGAAGATGTAGAGTCCTTCACATACCTGGGAAGCATCGTCGATAGACAAGGAGGTTCAGATGCAGACGTAAAGGCAAGGATCGGCAAAGCAAGGGTCGCATTCCTACAATTGAAGAACATATGGAACTCAAAACAACTTTCAACCAATATCAAAGTGAGAATCTTCAATACGAACGTCAAGGCAGTTCTACTGTGTGGAGCTGAAACTTGGAGAACTACAACAACCGCAATCAAGAAAGTACAAGTATTTATAAATAGCTGTCTACGCAAGATACTCAACATTCATTGGCCGGATACCATCAGCAATAGCCTTCTGTGGGAGAGAACAAACCAACTTCCAGCTGAAGAGGAAATTATGAAAAGACGATGGAAATGGATAGGACATACATTACGCAAATCGTCAAACTGCATCACGAGGCAAGCCCTAACTTGGAATCCTGAAGGGAAGCGGAAAAGAGGAAGGCCAAAGAACACATTGCGTCGGATAATAGAAGCAGATATGAAAACGATGAATTACAACTGGACGGAGCTAGAAAGGATTGCTCAGGACAGAGTTGGATGGAGAATGCTGGTGAGCGGCCTATGCTCCTTCACGAGGAGTAACAGGCGTAAGTAAGTAAGTAAGTTTATCCCAATAAAAACGTTTTCCATTTCTTTGACTGACCTTTAAATGGTATATGAACGCAAACAAATACTGTCATTAGAAGGTATTACTCACTTTTATGATGATAATCATTTTAGGAATGATTTTAAGTGAATACAACGACACTGCTAATCTCATTTAACAAGATGCAGGCTATAATATTCATTTTTATATTTCAACTTACTGACAAATTTCATGGAAAAGCATTGAATTACAATACATCGCATATCCTGAGAGATGTGAAGAAAATTTGGGTTATATTTCCTACAGATTTTAAGTTCGACTACTTTCAACCGCCATCTAATCTCAACATGATATACGTAATGTCAAGTCACCTAAATAGTGACCACATTGCAACTTTGTTGATAGTGTTCGATCTGCACTCGGAAGGACCTGAGACACATAACACTGATCACCACCCAGTGATCAATCAATTGTAAATACAATTAATATTATAAAAATCAATAAATCTTTTATTATACTGCCAACTTTTTGATTTATTCGCTTTTTTTTCAGTGTTTTAATATATCAGAGTTCTATATCACATCTTTCACACATCATAAGGAATTGATCTATCATAATTATTGATATCATGTTCAAAATAAATGAGATCCATTGATCGTTGTAATATTATATAGTGGTTTTCTATGTATTTCAGTCTAGCAACATTCAACATATATGAACACTTTTTGATCACCATAAAGATATCACAATAAATATCAGCAATTCGATTTTACTTGGCTTGATGAGGTTGTATCTCATAAGTTACTCAGTCTGTACAAAAAAATTTCACAGACTAGTTATCGTGCAAGATGGATTGTCTATGGGCTATATCATGTAAAGGTTATAATGAGTGACTTTTTAATCACTGAAATAAACTTACCTATCAATTTCTTTTTAAGAATAAAGATTAAGTAACCAGCCTCAATCTTTATTAACTATCAACTTTCACTAATCCAATCTAATCAGTCTGTTGGTGATAAGAGTGAAAATAAAGTCTAACTATCTATGTAGTCTAGTAGTAGCATGACTCAGCTATGAAAATCAAGTACCAGTTTTGTGTTTACAAAAATGAAAATAATATCTACTGACTTAAAGTAAGAGAACACTTGTTTTCTCTATATATGTAATTTTCCGATATTTCATGAGAAATCTAAAAACTTTACATCCGGACTAGGCGGTGGTGGTTTAATTAACATTGGTAATGAACTGGAATGATTAGTTTGATCAGTTAAATCACAGGAATTAAGTCCCAATATATTTTTGTTCCAGTGTTTTTCTGTTGAGACAGAATGACGTATTTGTGGTAGAAAAGATTTTGTTTTAGGTTTCAAGGTGATCAAATCAACTGAATCGACAAACTTGTATTTCTCTGGAGCGATGTAATTTCTGTCATTATTGTTTTTACTATTATTATCTTGAAGTAATCTTTTACGATCTGAAACAGAACCTATTGTATGCATACGTTCAATATAACCTGGATGACGTCGGCTAGACCAGTAGGAATTATTGAAACGGCTACTAATCTCACTAAAGCCGTCATTATCTCGTTCATGTGTATCTTCTGTTGGCCTCAAGAGTTCCACTTCTGAAGTACCATTGATAACGTTTGAATCCAATGATTTCTTCCTGTGGTGTTGATTATGAACATTCTCTAAAAATAAAATAGGACAGTTAAAACTTTATGATAGCTGTTACTTTTTGAAATTTACAAACGATAGAAAATAAAAGTACTCTGTTTGTTTCAGTAAGTAAGCAAGTCAATTTACTGAAATGTTTCAAAGAAGCCATTTTAACGAAAGCTGATAAGATCTAGCTGAACCGCTTCTTGCATACTGATTCCAAATATCAAGCTCTGTATAAATGATGTATTTTTTTCGATTTTAGTGTTATCCAAAATGGAGTCATTGGTGACAAGTTTTAAATAATACATTGTCTATGATTTTTAGCGAAAATTTTCTTAAACATATGATATGACAAATAGAGGAAACTAGATAGAAAAAGGCTAAAGATCAAAACTTAAATTGTTTGGAGATATAGATTTAGTCTACAAGAGCATTGTTTATTAACATCAAGAAAATTCAATAAATCGTGTTACCACCAGACAACAGAAATGTTTAAGCAAAATAATATCGGCCAATCAGGAGAGACTTATGTTCAGCTAATCCAGGTAGGAGAACATGTTGACTGAAAGGATACACGATAGATTAGTCAACTGACTTAATACTTATTTGAACAGAATTACAGTGAAAACACGATCGTTTTGCTTTCTTTTTTTAATAAAATGATATGAAATCGGAGATCATATTTCGAAGTACTCTGTGTGAATATAGTGTGTTTGATAACCACAAACTTCTTCAAAATTTACCTTGCAATCCATTGAAAATGATTTTAATCTAATTTATATCGATCAGTATTGAATAAAGTAAACAAATGATCTGTCATTTAGAGAAAATAATAGACGAGTAAAATGTAATAAATCGAATGATTATTAATCAGTATGCTATTCGTCTTAAGTTTTATTAGGCATACGAAGGTTTCTCTGTCAACTTTCCCTAGAAGTACATTTCCTACAAATACAGATATCATTTTTATACAATTGATGTATATGAGATTTTTCCGGTTGGATTTCACTTTTTCCTCGTACACAGTACTCCTTTATCTGGGCTTGAGACCGACAGTAACACTAAAAAGGATCCAGATGGAGCCCAATGGTTATACATCTTAAAGAATTAGTCTTTAAATTAAATTAAACATAAACTGTCATTTGATAATTTATCGTGTTTAGTCAATTAGTTCTCCATAGTAAGTTATCTGTTTACTCCAATTAAGCATAACTGGCAAACTACAGATTTTACTTTACTGAAAACGCGAAACAACCATGAGAATTTATATGCACATTGAGTTTGAAATATTATGTAATATGGTGTGTTAGAACTAAAATGAGAGAATAGCTACATTGTTTGAAATGAGGTATGAAATGATTCATCGAAATTTTCATTTCACATATTTCTATTAATGTAGCTATTACCTCATATTAATATGGAGTATATCGTGACATTTAAAATACAATCTATTCATACCATAATCGTTTTCAGTGGTGTCGTGTGATTTTAAATTGTAAAGCTGTGAATAATCTTATTCTTCACAAGACTAATTTCTTGGAATCAAATGTTTGGCTTCTCTTGTCTGACTATGTACATTGTTACTTTTTAATCCTCTGTTTTCTCTTGCCAAATAATTTTATTTGTCGATTGTCAATTAGTGATTAGCGTGGAATATTTAAATTAATCCCTTTTATTGATATTCAATACTACATTTATTAATTTTTATGAGCATATGGTTTCCTCAAATGTATTCCTTAGTATGACTCTCTCTTATAATATAAATATATTGGGTGAACAAAGTAATCACATATTCTTTTATCATGATAGCTGATAAGATGACACTGTAGAATTCACTTGGTAGATCATAGTGTGATTTGTAAGGACTTATTGGAATTAAACAAACGAAATGTAATACAGTACGATTTATTTCGGGTAGACAGAATAATTTTGTAGACTTCATGTAAGTTTTAGAAAGAACAACATCATAAGAAGAACCTCTATATGAACGGAATCCATTATAAGTTAAATTATTCTAGATTTCTACTAACCGATTACTGAGTAATAACTAATACCGTTTTTATCTAATCTTTAGAGTTTATTAGATTATGTCGGCCAAGGTCCTTCTACGCTTAGTAGTCTAAGTAGCTCGAAACCCTTTCACTAAATGTTTCTATATCGTTTCTCAGTGAATCAACTTGATGATGTTATTCGATTATTTTATTTTATGAACATCGTTAACAGAAATCATCAAATAGAATTATTCATCTGTTAATGACTTTATAATTAATTTACCAATCATAAAATTTAATTTCAATTCATTCTTTGTTTGTTTCAAATTATCCGTACAAATTTGATGATTTTTCAGTTGTTGACTTTTATTCAATATATACTGAGTTTTAGATCTACGAAGTAATCTTCCAGGCATTATTTGCCATATAGCAACTGAATTTGAACCATTTTCAAATGAATCATTTATATTAGATAATGAATTGTCGTTTTCCACTAAAAATAAATCAGAAACAGTATCTTGGTTCAGTATGATTCTTTGGAAAAATAGACATATAAGTACTTGTAGGAATTATAGATGATGAAAAATAAAAATAACAGTGTTATATTTTAGTAATTTGTTGAGTGAAATTCATGAAAATAGCCAATAATTCAGATCAATATTTTATGTCTTTTGAAAGTTAACATTATTTACTTAGCTGGTTATATTTACTTATTCAAAAATTTGTGGTTTTGTCAAACCGGTTAACTCTAAATCCTTTACAATGAAGTTATTATTTATTCTTTGGCAATAGCTGACCAAAATGTTCTTGGGATATCTCCTTGTTTGTAATATCAGATATAGATGATTACGTGAATTGAAAATAATGAAGAAATATTATTATATTCAAGTAATCATTGAACTTTCAAGTAATTTATGTTTGTTGACATTTCTATCATAACATTTAAATTATCTTAAAATTCTGGATGAAAGACAAAACCCGACTCACACGTTCACGTCCTGCCTCCTGGATAGTGGGACGAATGACCCATGAACTAACGTGAGCGGTATACAGGTGGTAGAGATTAGGCTAATCACCCCACTCGACCGATACCTTGAAAGTGTTTACGAAATCCACAAAGAATCACAATATATGTGTGGGTCGAAAAACGACAAAAATTCACAAAAGTAGTGCATATAATGTATGGGGTTGCTCCTTACAGGGCAAACTCCAACCGGTTGCAAAAAAAGTTGTTCTAGCCCCGGTAGTTGTGTCGTGCTTCGATGTGGCCTGTTTTTCTCTAGAGGGGCCTGCTAGGCTTCACCACCTTGTTTGGCTGGAAGGGGAGAACAAATCTCGGACAAGAATTTATATGTTCATTGAATATACTCTGTTATCTTCTTTACTCATCAGTTTCTACAAATCAAAGATCATGTATGTATACTAGAAGAACTCTGTAAGAAGTTATTATAAAGTTGATGATGGAATGACAAGAACGTCTAATTGTCTATACTGGGAATTTATATTTTTGAATTAAATGAACTAGTAACACTTTTTTCTGATTAATATATACAAATCAAAATGATCCAATTTCGAAATACATTTTCATTATTTTTAATAATCGGAAATTTTCTATCTACGTTATCTGTATGAAGATGATGTTAAGAAAAAAAGCATTATAAATCTTCATCTAATCTGTTATTAATTTATTGCATATATGAGATATTAGATCAGTTAGCGTTGATCAGTTACAATTTAATCAACTCAGTTTATTAAAAAATCCTTCTAAATTATACATCCGAAACTATTACAAAATTGTAATTTTAAATAGAGCAAGAACAAAGATTGGTGCAGAATAATATGAATTCATTTTATTTCGTTAGGTTCTCATCAGCTGCTTACAACCTAAATTATTTGAAATTCAACATTATTACAGATATTGACATATTTATATATAAGAGTGTGATTAAGGATCAATACATGTGTATGATGATCTAGCAAGCAAAGATTCAGATAGAGTTAATGAGCTCATAAAATGTTTGATTCCAATAAATAAATAAAGTTTGAGAGGGAAAGTTCTGGAACATTGAAATAGTGATTAGAACTCATTAAAATAGATTAATGGTAATAAAGAAAATATGGATTGAAATCAATCAGTTATGTATGATGTAATTTATATTTCAGAAAGAGTCGCAATAATGACGTAATAAATAAATAAATAAATAAATAGGAGCAAATTAATAGAAAGAGTGGGGGTTATTGTTACCAGGGTAAAGAAAGATTTATTACTGTCTCTTTTTGTATACATAGATCTGGTTTTAAACGTTTGATTGCTAACGCTTCAGCGAATTTCAAAAGGTTCAAGTTTGATTGTTTGTTAATCACCTTGAAGGACTTCAGTATATCAGCTTTATGTCCTGTATCAAGGAGATGTCTTGCGATAGCACTGTTGAATGAGTTCAATCCATTTAATCTTAAACTTTTCGGAATATGTTCTTTGAATCGGACGTAGGCTCTCCTTTCTGTTCTACCTATGTAACTGCTTTGGCAGGTACATGTAAATTTGTATACACAGTTGGTGGTAACATGAAAGGGATACCTGTCGACCTTTGATTGTGTCAAAGAACATGTTGTTTTGGACAGGACAATCAATTTCGCTGCAGGATAGGTTCTTGTCAGTGCAGTTTTTAGTCTCATATTGATTGAACCTGTGACATCGTCACCTTTGAATTGAAGTTTAATAAAAATAGGCTTTTTATTTGCTGTAATTTCTTTCGGTTTTTTATCTTCACATTTGCCGTATTTCTCAATAAATTTCAGTGGGTATCCGTTATTCTTCAAACATTTTTTAACATTCATAACTTCCTCTTCTAGTGTATCGGAAGTACATATTCTTTCTGTTCTGTAAAACAGTGTTTTGACCAGTGCCTTTTTGTAACTGATTGGACAAAAGCTATTGAAATTAAGATAACTACCATTCCATGTGTCTTTCTTATAATTGTAATTGATCACAGTGTCATAAATAGGTTACACTAGTGAATATAAAAAATGAGATTAGATGGTGGTTGGAGGTAGTCGACAGGAAACCTTGTCGACTACCTCCAACCACCATCTAATCTCAATATATAGTGCACGCAGTGTCGAGCCACCGAGACTGGTGGCCACATTGCAACATGGTCGATAGCATTCGATCTGCACTAAATAAGGACTTGACACACATGACATTGAAGACCACCCAGTGATCAATCAACTGTGAATATAAAAAGTATTCAACATGAATGTTCAAATTTTCCAGAACTTTTCAAAATTTCTGACTTTCATTTGGAATCATGAATTCGATTACTACCTCAATTTGTTTCTTAAAATTAAATTGATTATTTCCATTAAATTATGCTCAAACAGATTACAATAGCCAGACAAAATGTGAAGTAGAAAAACTGATATTTTAAGAAATGTAATTTCGTGAACTTTTAGGTTTAAATTATTATTATTAGTTAGTGTCAATTATGAGATGTAATACATTTTGTACAATTGCTATTTTAGTCAATGATTGATAATAGAAGAATTCAACATAAGTTCTTGTTCATAATATATGAGGCATGTCAATTCAATTGACATATATTCATGTTGATATTTCAACTTAAATTATCATACACCACTCACAATTCATTCATTATTTCAATATCCAACACTCTATTTACCAACAACCAATTCTGATTTGGTAGATATGAGTTTTTTTTAAAAGCTTGTGATTTCATATTTTATTAGTACGGACTGACAAAATCAATCTCGAAAGAATTCAATAATCAAAAACTGGTATACCTACCCGTTACCACACTTTGTTTAATAATAAACTATGATGAAAAAAAACTAAGAGGAATCAAATACAAGATATAAATAATACATCAAAGTTGCTTAATCTTAGTGTAGTGAACAGAACACGGAATTACAGAATTGCTTGATAAAATAGGAAAATCATATAGCAAATCGTTAATTTGCAAATTATTAATCCATCATATCAAACCGGGCTGTTCCTGTTGCAAACATCAATTCATTGTCTCAAATTTCATTGTTCATGCGTTTTCTTATAAATCGCATTGTGTTCCCGCTCTTTCTTTTTTGATCTTCTCCCATCTTCTGCTGCCAGACATTACGTTTTTAACTCGCGTCATATACTACTTACATCAATATAAGTAGCACGCACCACATTAGGACATTCAAACGCAGATTACTTATAACACTACAAAATTTCAAAATTACATTAATATCAAATTTCTAGAATATATAATTCAGAAAGCAAACATGATTTCATAGATCTTACATAAATTTCTTGATTGTATTATATCATTAGTGTAGTACTTTTCTTGGCTAGATGAAAGTGGAATCATATCACCTAAATTGTAGCTTGTTTCTTTCAACTCTGTATTTTTGGGTAGTAAAGATGGCCAATTAATTGGTGATGTATAACATCGGTTCATGTATAAACTTTGTAGATTATCAATAGAACTCATATAATAGTGTGGAGGAGTTGGCTCAGATCTTTTTAGTCTGGACTGTTGAAATAGTAACAGGTCACTCAACAGATGTGACTTTGCTTTTAATTCATCTTGTTCCTGAGTAATATAAATGACAAATTGAAAAAAACGGCACCTTATTTAATAATAAAAGCTGATGGATGAATAAAAATAAAAGGAAATTAAGCGAAGAGAAGTTTCTTCCCGATTAAATCACTTACTTAAACTGTAAATGATCTCGTCAAAAAGGAAATTTTCTTCGCCGAATTCTATTTTTATTCAATGGCACAATGGGTTATTTTAATTAGCTGATAAATGAGTATAACACTAAAACAAGTTTTTTTTTAAATGGTGATCATTTGATGAATGTTTGTTTTGTGTTCAATTTGTGTTGAGTAAAAATAGATTGTAAAGTTAGTTCAGTATTAATTAATAAATATGATCGATTAATTTAGTTGTTAGTGTGTAATTACATCAACTTATCACCATGTATACCTGTGTATTTGACTGATAAGTTTAAATTATAGGACAGATATTAAGTGAGAAATAAAAACTGGCCAACTGGATTTTTTTCATAAATTTTAAGTAGATCAATATTCATTTGTTATTAATTTATAAGTTGATGAGTAGTTTGCCGAATAAAGGAATGGATGAACATGACCAATTAATCAATTTTCGAAGTGAAAAACAATAAATTTTCTTCGGGATACAATTGTTCATGAGATGAAATGTGCGCATAATTACTTGAAAGGCTTTGTCTATAAAGGTTACTAATATTATTATATTACATAATATATTATATATTATATTATTATTGTATTATATATTATATTATATTATTATAAATTAAATTTAGGCGATTACTGATAATCCATGACAGTTTTCCAAATGGCTTTTTAAGATATACCGACCATTCATACACAGAATGAATTGTTATCTTGTCGGATAAAAAATCATGAATTTTTACTTGAGTGTTTATTAAAATATAATCATACATATGTATATGAATTTAGTGATAAGGAGACTTCTACAAAGAAAGTTGTATTTAATTTCGTTGCTAGTGTAAATTCAACTAGAAATGTTAAGTGTGAAAAATATCTCTATGATAACTACTCTCTTTATTTTAGTAATATAAAACAAACGACTAAAATTCAAAACAATCTGACTTACTTGAAATGGTGAATCAGAAACTTTTCGTTGATCATATCTAGAACACTGAGATTTTAATAGTTCGTTCAAGAAATACGGTTTAGTGTGCTGGTACTGTTCCACATTTACCCCATTCGACTTCAATGACTCATTAAAAGAAATAAGTTTCTGGTTTGGTATGGTAAGTTCTCTAGTGAATAAACTAAAATGATTAAATCAAATTTCGAAAGAATGATACATCTCAGTGTTTTATTGCTAACCTTTACAGTGAAAACTAAAAGGATAACTATATAATACTTGTTATCGCTAAGATAGTCAAGAACGAGTTATAAAAAGAACCTTTTTTATTTCGTCAAAATCATGAACTGATCAATGTTAGACCATCATTGAAAACCTGGGAGCATTGGATGACTGTTTCTTCTTAGTGTGGGACTCCTCAGTAGTGTGAATCCACGATCTCGCACACAGGATTCAAACCTAACACTTTCGGTCTCAATTATCTTAAGTCGAGATCGAACTTCTATGCCTAGGTTTCATGCCTTCATTTCAATAAACTTCTGGGTCACCCATAGTTTTGTGATAATCCATGATATCTAAATAATGTTATGATGCTTCATTCTCAGAATTAAAACCATTCTTTGATCTAGTGTTTACTGACTCCATCAGTTTGATTTCAAGTATAGTGGCAATGATACTCACAAAGTGTGATATGAAATCACTTGAGCCAATGAGTCTTTTTCATATATCCATTGTAAAAGGACGAGATCATTTTAATTATTAGCTTTCTGAATTAATTCGAAATTGCAGTCAGAAACAGAGTAGGATATTTGTGATGTGTTTCACAATAATGGAACTAATTGGTTAAAATTTAAGCTGGTATCATAAATAAACTCAAAGAAATTGAGATTACGAATAACGACATTTTCATAATATTTCAACTTATAAAAGGGTCATGAATTAGGTATAATATTTCGAGGTTTAAAATTCTCCCGTTTTTATCCACTTTATGCTATCTAAAATGGATTATTTTATATAAACTACCACATATATAAATAGTTAGCCTATCGTTTTACAGTTTATTTAACTCTTAGATTGGTGGTTTAATTATCAATGGTAGTTTAGAGATGAAGTTCAGTTTGACGGTTGGTTATCAAGTAATCGTGTTATATGACTGAAAAGTTAAATTATTAAGTTGATCTAACCAATAAAAATAACTTAACCACAGTACTCGCTGTAACAGTAGAGGTAACTTCACACTAATTTGTGATATTAAGACTATCTCATTGAAATACTTCATTACTCCAGTCTCTGGTGCACTATATAAGTAAAGCAATAGCCTAATATGTATATACTATTTAAACAGCGACATCGACGTTTGTTTGCTGTTTAATACTTTAAATATAATTCACGTTTTTATCAGTTTTATTTGCATAGAATTAGGAACTATGACTACTGAATATAAATCAGTTCACACTCCTTCAGTTGACACTCCTTTAGATATCTCACTGGATACTAGTGACTTCTAAGATCAGCAAAGTTCGATCCAATGACAGCCAAAATCACGGTCTTCGAAAGCACATGGAACGACATCACTTGATTTTTGATTTTATGGAGGGGTGGGTCTATAAATGGAGCGTTTGACTTACAGTTCAAAAGTGGCGTATTCGGCAACTAGGTGGTATTATTAGTCTTCAAACATAGGATACGTTTCTAGGGCAATTACACGAATTCATTCCAAGCAAATGATTATTCAAAAAATAACTGGTATTTCAGATGTTAACGAATGGAATAAGTAGTCAAGGATCCACAGGTTTAAAGTTGTCTAAATCCAATTACGAGTTTTATGCTTTCATACATGATCAATACTTTCTTAGTATGCGCGTACTTAAGACAAATATATAAGTCTCTGCCTAGGCAACTAGCGTATTCCGGTTTTGACTGAGAGTGGAACCCAGGAAGCCTATTTTTGACATATTTGGGAATTGTTGGATGTATGTGCCTGGATCCCAGTGTTGATGTTTAAAAACTAATGTTATTAAACTTATGACCGCTTGGCTACATGGGAACAATCTGTTCATAAAAGGCATATGTCGATTGAGATTGATAAATAATGGCCCTTAATAGCCACAACGAATAGACTTAAATACTTATATACACAACCACCATATCTGTTTCTATTTAATCCAGAAAGTACTAACATTTGCTGGTCATCTCCTTCGAAACCACATATATCTTCTGAGATTTTTGTTAATGAAACCTTACTGTCAGAAATTCTTTTTTCTGACCTTCTGTCTGATTCAATGTTACTCGTGTTAGGACACAATATAAGACTTCCTTGTTGAATATGTCGACGTATTTGTGCTCGAGCCAAGGGTAACAATCTTGCCCTTAGGGCTTGTTCGCTTATATGACAGGATATCATCCATCGTGGCTAAAAAAATAGGAAAAATGTACAAACGTTTTGATATAATTAGAACTTCTAATATCATGCAAATAACCAATAATTAATGAATCAGAGTATCGTTTTGTTCTAAAATTGTCACTCGTATTGTGGTGTGAGCTACTTATATTCACATAAGAAGTATTTAACGATGATCAGACATAGAATGTATTTCAGTGGAAGATCGAAAGAGAAGAATGGAAACGGAAAATGCATGATCAATGAAATCTGAGACGATGGACTGATATTTGCTAAAGGAACAGTCAACATTGAGGCAATTAATTGATATTTTGCAAATTAATTTTTCACTGTATAGTTCTCAGATTTCAGTGAGATGTGCTGTAATTTTGTGCCCAAATACATTCGACTGTCCCCACTTGTGTTCTTGTTCACTACAATATGACTAATATTTCTAGTACCAAAAATATCTAACTGCATCTTTCCAAATATTATTAAACAAAACGATAATTATAAAAGATGGCTTCTTGGAATTGATTAATAAAAACAATTTCGTGGATTAATTGAAGTTAGACATTAACACCGTTGGATGCCGGCTAAGTGGTCTAATGGTTAAACGCTCACGCGCGAGACTGATATGTCCTGGGTTCAGACTCTCGCGGGGGCAGGGTTGTGGACGCGTACTGCTGAGTAGTCCCACAATAGGACTAAACGGCTATCCAGTGCTTGCAGGTTTCACATAGTGGTCTAGCTTCAACTGAATCATGATTTCAACTATTGAAATTACTAAAATCTCCATAAAACCCCTCCTGACACAAAACAAACATTTTTAGAATGATAATGAAATGTGAACCGATCCACTTATTCAAGTGAGTAAGTGCAACACCATCAAAATATTAAATCACTTCGGTTTGATTATTTAAATGAAAGTAATTAAGCAATCATTATTTTACATTCACTTGGTATTGTTTGCCTTGTATCTTCCCATTGAGGTTTTTAAGACCGTAATTGATCAGTCTGTTATTGGCATATGTGCATACTGTGCGTATGCCTCGATATTGCCTTAATTCACAAGCTTTTTGTAAGCAATGATGGATAGTGACTAGCAGTGGAATCTAGGACACGCGTTTCGTCCTATTTGGAACTCGTCAGCAGGATTCCACTGCTGACCACTATCCATTATTGCTTACAAAAATCATTACTTTATTTTCGATTTCTGTTCTGCACAATGGTAAAATTATTTTTTAAAAAGAAATACAATACCATCAGATTTGATTTATTTCAATTATTTACAAAATTTTTAATTAAAAAGAAATATAATTCACTTGAAGGATCTATCTGAATAATGATGTGTAAAAGGTATAATAAATCAAAGTTTATATAATTGTGTAAGTGTTAAGGTAATTCAATGATTGATTTTAAAATTACCTAAAATATTGACAAAAGTTCATTCATTATCGATTTTTCAGAATTGGTAATGAAATCGAATAGCTTCTTGTAAACTAAATATTAAGTTGTGTGTTTTTTGTTTTATTAGATACTATATGTTCCCTGCTAAGTATTTAAATTACGGTTTTATTCATTTGTCATCATTCTATCCTTATAAGTCACTATGACTACATCATTCATAATTATCAAATTTGAAAATAGGTCTTGTTTAAGTTTGTTTTAAATTTTATACGCTATTGTCATTATGAACAAATTTCGATAGCAAGTTTTGGAGCTTTTCTGTCATTTCCCTAGTTCTTGTGTTAATTTGTACAGTCGTCAACTCTATTTGTATATTTGACTGATTAAACTTTGTTCCAAACAGAAGAGTATAGATGATATGTTATAATATTATTCTAATGAAACATACTAAATATTGTTACACTTACGTTATTCACTCTAGATATAATGTTTTTTTTTAATTACACATTACCACATTCAGCTAGTTCTATCTAAACAAAATAAATTTACCCCAAAACTTACATATTATCTTCTGTAATTAATAGGTAATTTAAACTGTATAGTATGATGTAGTGTGGACTAATCTATAAATGTAGTCAATAAGGTTTAGCAATTAACTTATCAGTAAATTGAATAAAACGTAACAAGTTTTATAATACATTTTCCAGTCGAGTCAACAGACATCTAATGTTACCTTAATAAGGATTCACCCTGAACTATATTCTAATACCAACTGATTGTCACTGAGTGCATAATCCAAAACTGACGTTTTGTCTAACAAATAAATCATTTAATGGTGTAAAAGGCAATACATTAGGCTCAGAGAATCAATTAATTTATAGATCCGTATAAAGCAATACAGTTTTCTGAGTCTTTTTACATATTCATCCATTTGTGGGTATATGATCATCTTTTCAATACTAAAAGTAGTTAAACGTTAAGAGAATATTCTAAATCCATGATGACCTTTTAATAGTAATTAGTGAATTAGATCTGATATAGCTATTTGCTTATATTTGTAAATCACCTATTCACTAGTTAGTGGTAATATACACAGGCTAGAAAACCTTTAGCAAACCAATACGGCACTTTACTGGAATCGAGTGAAAATTATAGTCCAAATATAATGCTAATGCAAAATTTTTGACTTAGTAAATTGTTTGCATCCAAGTTTAATTTCAATCAGTCGACCAAATCGGGAACGGTGAGCGTGTAAAACTCGACCAGGACTAATACTCTTTAAGTGAACATTAAATTTGATGACTTCGTGCATAAGAGCATTTCTAGGATAAAAAATCTAAATTTCCAACAAACCAGAACCGAATAAAGTTTAAATATATTACGACTATATCAGTAATAAGTATGAGGTCCAAAATATCATGTCAACATAGCATGTAAGTTTAATTTTAGATTGTGCTCAATTTTCACTGGTCGAATAATGAAATCTAGTGGTTAGTGAGAATTAATCTGTTATTCTAATTTATGCCGTACACTGCCATACTCAAACACTGTATAATAATGTTTCCAGATGTTTATTCCGCGTGACAGACGCAGTTTACTGGATTTAACTTCAATTAATCTAACAATTTAACTCACACAAAGTTCACAAATCTTACAAAATGTTTACAGAATGATAGTTTTTATCTTACCATACAAGAGGTTTCTTCAAATACATCATTTTGTTCATTTCTTTTTATTTTGTAATCACTGACTAGAGTTTGATTCGCATCTTTTTTTCGTGATGATATCTGTCGAACAAATGACCGACATTTTTCTGGCTTTGATGCCAACATAAATAGTAGATTCCCGTTACCTTTCTGTTTAGATCTTTTCTGTCTAATAAAATCATTTTTGTGATGATAACAGAATGAAATAAATAAAGGTGTTTTGCTTTCACTGTTCAGACTAAGTGGTTTATTGAAAAAAAGGTTTTAATAGGATATCGTAAGAAAATAAAAAAACCATAAAGTTTAGTGACATGGTCTATTTCCAACGAACCTATTATCAAGCTGTACAACCATAGATATAATTGTTGTAAAAAGTCACTTTCACTGAATTGCGCATTTTTAAATGAAGTACTTTAATTACGTGTTAATGGATGGTCAAGTTCAGAAATCTCTTTGCAATTATTCTCACATTAAATCCATGGAAATCTCTTAATTGTTTGAACTAAATTGAAGTATCGGAATAAAAGTACTGAAGTAATTTCTGTAATAGTTATATAAAAGCCCAATAACTATTTTTGACTGTCATGTAAATTAAGTACAATCAAGTGTTGATTTGGTAATTTGAAGTAGTAGAATTTAGTTTGATATACTAACTTGTAATTTCAGTACTTCCAATATGTACTCTATTAGATACGAATGGACCAACACAGAAGTCATAGAGAAAGCAGTGGGCACGCTTAAAGGTATTAAATTTGTTACTTGAATTCGGTGAGTAATAATTTACTAAGGAATTATTATTTAGGACAAACACCATCATTACTCAAAAGAAATTCTTCAAAAATCAGTGCCAAATGAAATTTAACACCTATCATATATGAATAAGTTCTGAGTCAATCTTTCACATTAAAAAGATTCTACTACGAGGTTTATCAATTTTAAACGAAGTTATTTTAAAAGTATAACACAGGTTTTAATAAATACCTTTTGGTTTGAAGTTTAGTAGATCGTGTCTAGTTTCAGCAATACTATTATTTTAATGGTTGAGATCATGAGTCCATTGAATCTAGAGCACCATAGAAAACCTGGAAGCACTGGACGGCCGTTTCGTTCTATCGTTGGACTCCTATGCAGTGCGCATACTATTATTGCTTGTACCAGAAAAAAAAACTAGACTTTGATATTTATAATAATAGACTAACTGCCTCCAATATTTTCTTATACCACTATAACCAAATGCGATAATACTTAATGCTACTTTGAATTGAATAACACTTCAGAATAAGAATTAAATGAAAGCAGTCTTTAAATACAGGTAAGCTTCTCAAACCCAAATATCTAATACACTCTAGAAGAATTTTGTACCAAAACTAAACACTACTTTATCGTCCTCTTTGGATGTTTGCGGTTTCAGAAATTACATAAAGCCCTTCATTAAACTTTTTTCAAGAAGAGAATGATAAATTAAGCTCTAATAAATGCCTTGATATCAATAAAATTCACCAAACAATTTTATGTGATCTCTAGGATGGTTTTTGCTTCAGATTTTATTATCTAAAAGGGGATAAATCATATCAACTTTAGAATAGTTTGCGGATATATATGTATAAGCAAACGCTACATAGAATCGGTTTTCAACAGGTAGACTGAAAAATGTTTAATATTTCATTGACCAGTAACTCATAAAGCTAATATTTTGCTACCTTATTATATTACAAACGTGTGTTGTACGAAATAGTTGGCCAGCACTATCTAATTTTTTCTTTGTTCGATTCACATCTAATGTAATGAATGTTACAAAGATTTTTATTCCATAAGATAAAAGACGAAATAATTGTGTTTTTAGTATGTGAATGAGTCACTGTAAGTGATAATTGATCAATGCTCACGACTCCCAGTTCGGTAAGGTTACTCCATTTCTACCTGTTTTACTTCTCGCTGTCTACTGAATATTTATGTTAACATGATGAAATAAATTTCTGGATTGTAAGTAGTTTTGGTATATTCACATAAATACATACTCTGTCAAACCTTATCTTGCAAAAAAATGATTAAATAATATATATTCAATAACCCTTACTTTACTGGTTTATTTTCTAACTTATCTAACTTCTTTGATGGTATCCAGACATAAGAAGACTTTAATGGACTTTCATGTTCTATATGGTTCCACTTTTTCAATTGATTTTTAAGTAAATTCAAAGCAATTAAATGTTCTTCTGAATTTTTTACACATTCTTCATCAATCTTAATATCTTGATTATCTTCATTAATTAATTCACCTTCTTTAATTTTTCTATTCTCTATACGAGATCTTTTTAATTTTTCCATCATGAAATAAGCATAATTTGTTAATCTTGGAGCTAAAACGAAAATTAAAACAAACATGAATGAATTTTTAAATTAAAATAAACTGTTAGACATTTAAAAAAAAAGCATTTCGAGATATGAATTTTACCTACTGTTGACTAATTTGGACTAGTTGCTAGATGATAATATTTTTCAGTATAGGGTTGTGGAGATTATTAAGTTATTGATTGAGGTCATGAAACGATTGATGTTAGATCACCATTGAAAACCTGGAAGCATTGGACGGCCGTTTCGTCTTATTGTGGTACTCCTCAACAGTGAACATCCACAATCCCGCCCAGGGTTCGGATCCTGCGAGCTGGATCGTAGATATGCATTGCTGAGGAGTTCCACAATAAGACGAAACGGCCGTCCAATGCTTCCAGGTTTTCAATGGTGATCTAACATCAGTGGGTTCATGATCTCAATCAATGACAATATTTTTGATGGTTTGAGAAACAATACTTAATGGGTCTTACTGATTAATAAATAAATAATCACAAAATGAAGTCTTGGACTGCACACATATTATTCGCAAATAAAGTGTTACATGATCCCAGAAGTTATTAGGGGACCTCATTCATCCTTTCAATAACTAAAATTTATGTCATATGTCATATTATCAATGTTTGATTCATATCGTTTATTTAGTAATGTTCATATTTTTTGGCGAAAGTTATATTTTTTATATCAAATATAATTAAGGTGCTTGCAAAAACATTCATTTAATAGATAGAGGATGCAAGTGGTATGTTAAATGAAAGTATAAATATTTAGCTTTTATGAACTATAAACGCTTTCAAAGAGAACAATAAAATCTATGTATATAAGACTAACTAGAAATCATTCACAGTGATGATTAACTCTTTTGAAGCAAACCGAAAGTATACTTATTTGTGATAAAGAACCGTAGATGATAACCTCTGTGTTCATACTTACTGATTCGATGTTTATCTGTTCGTTGTTACGCGTAAGTAGAACAGAACACTCCGAAATTCCTAGTGAATTTATTAGACTAGAACTCATTGGAACGAATGTGTCACTTTCGAATGATCTTTTATCAATCTCTCAATTATTTTTCTACTCATTCCCATTCCTATTATTTTATTTACCTTAATTCCAAATCACCTAAATAAGTGGCTGTTATTATCACCCTAAAACTCTTATTCCCATGGCTAGTAATAAATGCATACGTGTCTATCTTAAAATTAAATGTCGACGGATGTCTACAGATCAGAATGAAGAGAGAAATAACTTCTAGAGGGTTTTCCAGTAACACTAAGTTTCCTTTGATATACATCTAGGGGTTACATTTACATAGATAATTGTATCGATATTACTTCTGACGTGCGCGTCAGTAAAATCCAAAACTTAAAGAATGAATTAAACATAAACTGTACATTTTCCGTTCTATGGGAATAGTTCATCAAGCAGTGGACCGAATAGTTAAATTATTTTTGGATAAGCATATAATCAATGTTTAGTAGATTTTACTTCGTACTGTCAAAAATCATTTGTACGGAAAGGGTGCTATGATAAACCTTGGTAGCTAATATGGAAGCAACTAAATGCTCTAATTGAACATTTCTTTACCCTTTGTTTTAAATCATCAGACAGTATCCAAAATTATATTATGATGTTAGATAATATTCATCCCCAGTTCATACGTTTTTATTTCTATGAGAATTCTTAGGATTACAGACGTATTATTGTTCAGAATTTACAGTTTTAAAATTCATATACATATTGTTAGTTCATTACCGGACAAGTGATTTTAACTTTACTCTTATGTCAAAAACATATACTCTATTTAAATTCATTTAACATAATTTAGCGTCTGTTACCCCTCAATCTTTTCCATATTCCATAAGTGTGTCTCAACAAAGTTTTTCTGTCATTTTTCTTTTATTTAATATATCATTGCTGCATAATAGCGTATAAATTTAGGTAGAGATTTCACTTTAAATGCTAACTTTCAGTATATTCATGTTTCGTATCTAAAATATTGGGTTCCACTATATCAAATAGTTGTTAATAACTCCAGATGCCTTAAATAAAATCTTTAATGGAAATTACACACTAATATGCAACACTCATCCACTAAATGAAAGAAAACGAACGAAAGTGCTGGTTATGACAGACTTTTTAAACGCTGAATACAATCAGATTAATCTCAGTCTTATTTGGCTAACAGGGTTTATATAAGACATCGTCATATAATGATGACAATAAACCTAGTCAATATTCAGTAATTTTATGACGATTTGATCAAAGGGATAAATCTGTTTGCTTATGAGGTTATTTCATGAGATATAAAAACAGACAAATAGGAACTTACACCTATAAGCATATTGTGAATCCGAAAATATTGATTGCGCAAATGAATCATAAATTAACTGATATGGAATATCTGTAATGTTTATTTTCTTTTGATCAACCATTATAATGACATTATTACCTGAATCTTCAATACGTTTCCATAAATAATTTTTAGCCCTAAATATAAGAATTCCATTCATTAATTTCCTTATTGTTTCCCAACATGACGGATGACAACAATTTGGTGAATTACAAGTGTAATAGCTTCCAACGTTTGTAACAGTACGCATTATGAAGCTAATTTATAAATATAACTCTTGAATATATCTTTATTAAATAGTTTAATCTAAAACTTTAAATTATAGCATCAATCAATTCTAATTTCGCACCAATGAGCTCCTACTTACTATAAATAACCAATGACAATTATAGAAGCTACATTTTCTGACGTATCGGTTTTTTTTAAAGGTATCGTGTATCTAATTTTATTTTAAATATTTGGATTGATTGTCAGTTTCTTTAATTCAAGTATTTAAAGACATTCTCAAATGTATTCTCATGACCTTACACTTGTAAAATGATCATCGATGAATTGTAAACAAAATTATATATCTTTTCAATAAATTCTCTTTAGGTTCTACAATTATATATCCAAAAAGTGGAAAAGTAAAAGGTAACATACGTTATTTAAAGTTACAGCAATATAAAACAAAATAGAAACGTTAGTTTTGGGATGATTATTCTGATGCGTTGACTTAAATAATTTGAAGCGTTAAATGAAATTGTGAGAATAATGATCGGAATAAATATGGTTAGCATGAGATGAGAGAGATAATGATGTAATTCCAAATCACGAATCACGTAATATGTAGAATAATATGAATTAGTAAAATGGCGTGGATGTTGAATAAATTTCTGAAAATGTTTTTAAGCGTTATGATGCTAATGATGACGATAATAACAATCATAATATCTGTGAATAAGATAAGTTTAAGCTTTGAAAATACAAAGAAGAGGGTGAATGAACAAAAAAAAATAACGTAGCCATATCATTAAATGATTTTAGGAATTTGAACAAACAGATAAGAGATGAAAATGCAAAGATCCTCTATACACGTACAACTAAAAAGTCATTATAAAATATGCAGCATTACTAGTTCAACACAATTAGGTAGAATGATATTAATAATAAAACATATTGTGCATGAATAATCAACGAGAAAAAAAAATCTTTCCAATACACATACGAATAAATTCAAAGTTCATTACATAATATTGATTGCGATGAAGTCAAATAAAGACTGACGTGCTGTGTACGCTATCGGAAGTGTGCGACGGAATGCGGTCTATGACTTGTGTCGGTGCGTCGTCACGGGACACCGGTGTCAGTGAGGACTCAGTTGAATTGGAAGTGTCAATTGTGGATTGGTTGGTGTGAAGTGCAGTGGTGATTGTGTGGGATGATGCGAATGCAGTCGATGGTAGTGAATGTGTGTAGTGGAGGCAATAAGGCGGATGTCGCTGCCAGGATTCGAACCTGGGTTAGTGCGGCCACAACGCAATGTCATAACCACTAGACCACAGCGACGATGTGTTCGCGACCCAACGTCACGCTATCACAACACACTCACCATCTCCATCACACAGTCACCTCGACACCAACGCACCCACACACAAAAATCAATACTCTGTCGAATCTAATCGACAGAACTGAACACTTCACACACGTCTCACTCACCTTCATCACACCAACGACAATCTCAGTCATTCCCAACAATAACACCGAAACCAACAAATTAACAACACCAACATACACGAATCCTGAATCACAACATATTCAACAAACACTACAACAACAACAACAACAACAACAACAAACAACCAACCAACCAACCAACACACCTACTCAATACACATCCACATCAACCACAGCTACGTTGACACTCACATGTGGAGGTGCATCACGTCAAACCAATCTTCCACCGACTGTCTCATTCGTTGTTCTCATCGTGTTCTGTCTCTATTAAATTGGACTATGCTCGGAGTTCGTAGTTAGCACGTCATCTCGACTAATTCTAATGATCATATTGGCGTCACGATCGAGTGAAATCGTGGACAGTCGGATATTTTGCAAGTGGGGATTTCTTCGAACACTATATGGAGCTGTTTGAAATCTGGTGCACAACTAGAAGAGATATTACAAGGATTCAGATGAGTCCGTTCCAATTTCCGTAGTTAATTATAATACTAATGAGTACATTCTAGATCACACACAGTCTATACTCAATACACAACCGGACAGACACATGACCGACCTACTGAGAAGATGAATAATAAACTACAGAAATCTGGATTCCCATTTAAGCTGTAGCGGTTGTGTTATTTGAACCAATTTGTGATTACATTGTGCTTCATTCTGTGGCTAATTCAAATTCCGAATATAACACGTTGAGTTGTGCTCATCGTGTTGTGTTTGCATTAGATAGATTGGACTGATCTTGGAATTGTTGACACATCAATACGAATAATTTCAATGATCATTATATAATATTAATTGAGATGAAGTCAAATGACGACTGACGTGCTGTGTACGCTATCGGAAGTGTGCGACGGAATGCGGTCTATGACTTGTGTCGGTGCGTCGTCACGGGACACCGGTGTCAGTGAGGACTCAGTTGAATTGGAAGTGTCAATTGTGGATTGGTTGGTGTGAAGTGCAGTGGTGATTGTGTGGGATGATGCGAATGCAGTCGATGGTAGTGAATGTGTGTAGTGTAAGCAATAAGGCGGATGTCGCTGCCAGGATTCGAACCTGGGTTAGTGCGGCCACAACGCAATGTCATAACCACTAGACCACAGCGACGATGTGTTCGCGACCCAACGTCACGCTATCACAACACACTCACCATCTCCATCACACAGTCACCTCGACACCAACGCACCCACACACAAAAATCAATACTCTGTCGAATCTAATCGACAGAACTGAACACTTCACACACGTCTCACTCACCTTCATCACACCAACGACAATCTCAGTCATTCCCAACAATAACACCGAAACCAACAAATTAACAACACCAACATACACGAATCCTGAATCACAACATATTCAACAAACACTACAACAACAACAACAACAACAACAACAACAACCAACCAACCAACCAACACACCTACTCAATACACATCCACATCAACCACAACTACGTTGACACTCACATGTGGAGGTGCATCACGTCAAACCAATCTTCCACCGACTGTCTCATTCGTTGTTCTCATCGTGTTCTGTCTCTATTAAATTGGACTATGCTCGGAGTTCGTAGTTAGCACGTCATCTCGACTAATTCTAATGATCATATTGGCGTCACGATCGAGTGAAATCGTGGACAGTCGGATATTTTGCAAGTGGGGATTTCTTCGAACACTATATGGAGCTGTTTGAAATCTGGTGCACAACTAGAAGAGATATTACAAGGATTCAGATGAGTCCGTTCCAATTTCCGTAGTTAATTATAATACTAATGAGTACATTCTAGATCACACACAGTCTATACTCAATACACAACCGGACAGACACATGACCGACCTACTGAGAAGATGAATAATAAACTACAGAAATCTGGATTCCCATTTAAGCTGTAGCGGTTGTGTTATTTGAACCAATTTGTGATTACATTGTGCTTCATTCTGTGGCTAATTCAAATTCCGAATATAACACGTTGAGTTGTGCTCATCGTGTTGTGTTTGCATTAGATAGATTGGACTGATCTTGGAATTGTTGACACATCAATACGAATAATTTCAATGATCATTATATAATATTAATTGAGATGAAGTCAAATGACGACTGACGTGCTGTGTACGCTATCGGAAGTGTGCGACGGAATGCGGTCTATGACTTGTGTCGGTGCGTCGTCACGGGACACCGGTGTCAGTGAGGACTCAGTTGAATTGGAAGTGTCAATTGTGGATTGGTTGGTGTGAAGTGCAGTGGTGATTGTGTGGGATGGTGCGAATGCAGTCGATGGTAGTGAATGTGTGTAGTGGAGGCAATAAGGCGGATGTCGCTGCCAGGATTCGAACCTGGGTTAGTGCGGCCACAACGCAATGTCATAACCACTAGACCACAGCGACGATGTGTTCGCGACCCAACGTCACGCTATCACAACACACTCACCATCTCCATCACACAGTCACCTCGACACCAACGCACCCACACACAAAAATCAATACTCTGTCGAATCTAATCGACAGAACTGAACACTTCACACACGTCTCACTCACCTTCATCACACCAACGACAATCTCAGTCATTCCCAACAATAACACCGAAACCAACAAATTAACAACAATAACAACAACAACAAACAACCAACCAACCAACCAACACACCTACTCAATACACATCCACATCAACCACAGCTACGTTGACACTCACATGTGGAGGTGCATCACGTCAAACCAATCTTCCACCGACTGTCTCATTCGTTGTTCTCATCGTGTTCTGTCTCTATTAAATTGGACTATGCTCGGAGTTCGTAGTTAGCACGTCATCTCGACTAATTCTAATGATCATATTGGCGTCACGATCGAGTGAAATCGTGGACAGTCGGATATTTTGCAAGTGGGGATTTCTTCGAACACTATATGGAGCTGTTTGAAATCTGGTGCACAACTAGAAGAGATATTACAAGGATTCAGATGAGTCCGTTCCAATTTCCGTAGTTAATTATAATACTAATGAGTACATTCTAGATCACACACAGTCTATACTCAATACACAACCGGACAGACACATGACCGACCTACTGAGAAGATGAATAATAAACTACAGAAATCTGGATTCCCATTTAAGCTGTAGCGGTTGTGTTATTTGAACCAATTTGTGATTACATTGTGCTTCATTCTGTGGCTAATTCAAATTCCGAATATAACACGTTGAGTTGTGCTCATCGTGTTGTGTTTGCATTAGATAGATTGGACTGATCTTGGAATTGTTGACACATCAATACGAATAATTTCAATGATCATTATATAATATTAATTGAGATGAAGTCAAATGACGACTGACGTGCTGTGTACGCTATCGGAAGTGTGCGACGGAATGCGGTCTATGACTTGTGTCGGTGCGTCGTCACGGGACACCGGTGTCAGTGAGGACTCAGTTGAATTGGAAGTGTCAATTGTGGATTGGTTGGTGTGAAGTGCAGTGGTGATTGTGTGGGATGATGCGAATGCAGTCGATGGTAGTGAATGTGTGTAGTGGAGGCAATAAGGCGGATGTCGCTGCCAGGATTCGAACCT